CTGAGTGGAGGTTCTCCATGAAGGCCCCACCCCTGCAGCAAACTTCTGCCTAGGCATCCAGGTGTTTCAATACATCTTTTGAAATCTAGGCAGAGGTTACAAAACCCCAGTTCTTGACTTACGTGCACTCACAGGCTCAATACCATGTAGAAGCTGCCAAGGCTTGGGGATTGCACCTTCTGAAGCTATGGCCTGAGCTGTACCTTGGTCCCTTTTAGTCATGACTAGAGAGGCTGGGATGCAGAGCACAAAGTCCTTAGACTGCACTCAGCACAGGGACCAGAGGCCTAGCCCTCTTAACAATTTTTCCATCCTGGGCCTCCGGGCCTGTGATGGGAGTACTGCCATGAAGACCTCTGACATGCCCTGGAGAAATTTCTTCCATTGCCTTGGGGATTAATATTCAGCCCCTTGTTACTTATGCAGATTTCTGCAGCAGGCTTGAATTTCTCCTCAGAAAATGGGATTTTATTTTTATCACATTGTCAGACTGTAAATTTTCAGAATGTTTATGCTCTGCTTCCCTTATAAAACCCAATGTCTTTAACAGCACCCACCTCACCTCTTGAATGCTTTGCTGCTTAGAAATTTCTTCTGCCAGATAACCTAAATCATATCTCTCAAGTTCAAAGTTTCACAAATCTCTAGGGCAGGGGCAAAATTCTGCCAGCCTCTTTGCTAAAACACAACAGGAATCCCCTTTGCTCCAGTTTCCAACAAGTTCCTCATTTCCATCTGAGACCATCTTAGCCTGGACTTTATTGTTCATGTCACTATCAGCATTTTTGTCAAAGCCATTCAACAGGTCTCTAGGGAGTTTTCAACTTTCCCACATTTTCCTGCCTTTTCTGAGCCCTCCAGACTGTTCCAACCTCTGCCTGTTACCCAGTTTTGAAGTCACTTCCACTTTTGGGTATTTTTTCACCAGCGCCCTACCCTACTTATACCAATTTACTGTATTAGTCCATTTTCATGTTGCTGATAAAGACATACCCAAGCTAAGAAGAAAAATAGGTTTAATGAACTTACAGTTGCAATTGACTGGGGAGGCCTCACAATTGTGGTGGAAAGAGAAATGCACTTCTTACATGATTGTGGCAAGAGAGAATGAAAGCCAAGCAAAAGAGGAAATCCTTGTCAAACCATCAGCTATCAAGAACAGTATGGGGAAAACCGCCCCCATAATTCAATTATCTCCCACCCGGTCCCTCCCACAACACATAGGAATTATGGGAGTACAATTCAAGATGAGATTTGGGTGGGGACACAGAGCCAAACCATATCAGGGTGCTATAACAAAATACCACAGACTGAGTCACTTAAACAACAGAATATATTTTCTCACAGTTTTGGAGACTGAAAGTTTAAAATTAGCATGCCAGCATGTTTGGAGGGTTCTCTTTCTGTCTTGCAGATGGCTTCTTTCTTGCTATATACTCACATAACCTTTTCTCATTGTGAATGTGTGAAGAGAGAGACAGAGGTATCTTTTTTTTTCTTACAAGATTACTATCCTATCAGATTAAGACTTCACCTTTATGACATCATTTAACCTTAATTACCTCAAAAAGTTTCCAAATATCATTACATTGGGGTTTGAGGATTGAATATATGAATTTTGGGTGTGAAGGAAGGTTGTAATTCAGTCCATAAGAATAGATAACAGCATATACAATGAGGCATAGTTTTGCTTTTTTCTAGGAGATAGAAAAAGTGTCATTTCAAATCAGTTATTCACAAATGTTTCAAGCTGTTAGGACATCACAAATAGTTGGAGTAGAAGATTTTTTTTGTAATTTTTTTTGTAATCACTTCCATGTACATTTTTGTTATATGAATGTAAATAGGTGAAGGAAGGCTATAGCTGGAAATATCAGGGCTTCACAACAGTTTGATGGTTCCAATTTTTCAGGCAAATGGGTTTGTGCCAACTGTATTCTGTACACATCGGTGTATTGAGCTTAGGTTTCCTTTTGGAGAGGAAAGGAATCAAGAATGAGATGCCTTTTTTAAAAGAAGTTCAAAGTTATTTCAGTATATCTTATGCACTAACATGGCCTCTACTGATGTCATGGAGAAGCAACAACAGCTCAACTACCCACTTCCTCTCCCAATCAGGGATACTCCTTTTTACTGAGGAAAAGTTTGAAATGTGACTCCGGCTGCACTGGAGATGTTTACTTAAGGAAAGAGAAGTCTGGTTCCTTGTATGGAATGTTCCACTAGCTGGGTTTCTGCTGATTGCTCCTGGCTCCATGGAGGTGGCAAAACAGAAATATGTGTTTGGGCCCAGGTCTACTTTGACACACATCAGATATCGGTGAGTGTAGCACTGGAGAAAGGAAGAGCCTTCCTTTTTCCCCCTCTTATATCCTTATCAGGTGGCTTGTGCATAGATCACTTCAAAACTACTTAAGTGGACAGAAGTCTGCATGAGACTATTCAGACATCTGTTCTCATGCAGACCAACTGATAAATAACGTAGCAACAACAGCTGCAGAGAATGGGCTAGCAGACTTATCAGATTTTCCAGTATTTTCTTTCACTGGAAAATTATAACCAGGTGTGATCTCTTGGATTGCTTAAAACTCTCGGGATTTGGGGCTTATAGGAAAGCAGGACCAAGTGAGTAAAGAAAGAAAAATGTCTAGTACACCAGATGGGAGTTTAGGGTCAAAATATTTTAAACATTTAAATAAAGGTATGACACAGTGATAAAGAACATATCTGATAGATAATAAACAAAAAAGAGAAAGAAATATGAATACAGACATATAGATAAAAATAAAGTTTATCCATTTATATGTACTGTGTGTGTGTATATATATATATAATAATTTTACTCCATGCTATTAGTGGTGATCATAGCTATTTTTTGTCTGTATAGTTAAATTTTTCAAGAATAAGTATTGATTCTATAATAAGAAATATATATCAATTATTTTTAAATTTAGATAGAATTATCTTATTCCAAAAAAGTGTTCAAAAAGAAAGAATTTATTTTTGAAAGTGCTAACCCTTTGTAAGTATTTGTATGGAGTGAGCTAACTAATCTCTGGGCCACTGGTCTTCTGCAGGTGAAATAATTATTTTTAGTGATAATTTATGAATTTCTGTTATTTTGTATAAATTATCATTGCTGTTATAGTTTATGTAAGAATTAACAAAATAAGTGTTCTATTATTCTTATGGCCTCAACCCTTAATGCTTTCTTGCCTGAGACATCTCATTAGTTAACTCAACTTGTCAAGTTTGGAGTTTTCTCTTGTTGATATGTGAGGACATCAGACAGTTTCCCAGCCTCAGATTCCTGTGGGGGAACAAAAGAAAGAAAAATAGTCAAAACAGAATTTGCTTACTTTCAGATTTTCTTCTGATTTTGATGCATGCCTCAAGGAATCAGAAAAAAAAAGTATATTTTATAAAATAACCTATTTAGTAGATCTGATTTAGGGCTATAAAATGTGGAAATAATTAATATTTACTTTTCCATAATAATAATACACATTACTTCTGCAAGATGCAAGAGATAAGTTTCTCTGGTAACCCTATATAATCTCATTTCAAAGAGCTAAAGTTCATATCAACATGCTTGTTCTTTAAAGGAAACACTTAAGATATCTGCCTTGCTTTGTGTACAGGGTAGAGGGGGCAGCAGGGGAGAGTGGTGACTTTACGTAGTTCCATACAGTATGGAGTACAAGGAAAGGGCAGTGAAGAACAAGGGAGAAAGCCTCATCCATCTGCCTCCTATCTTTTCCTTCATAAGTGAAATATACCTACCGCCTTCCCAGAAGCACTTGTATTACTGAGGTTATGGATGATGAAGTACTAACTTTAAGGTGAAGGTTGAAGGAGTGTGTAAGACTGTCTGAAATATCTGCTTAGTGGCCTAGGATTTATATTTAAAGTACCAAATCGCATAATTGATACTACCCGATTCCTCTGTCAGAGCCAAATTTAAAGATTAGTCAGGACTCATCTGTGCTTCAGTTTCCTTATTTGTAAAATAATAATCACTGAGTAATTTTTAGAATAAAATGCAACAATGCATATATAATATTTCTTAGCACATAATGCTCATCTAATAATACCTGTTGTTGTTGTTATATGCTTCCCAGGCATTGTGTTCGGTGAGTTGAGAAAAGGTGGGGTCATGAAAAGGAAAGGATATTGCATAATACCTTGAAAAGTGGCCAAATGAGAAGAAAACCATTTTCATTTGTTATCTGAGAAGCTTACCCGAAATTTACATTTTCAAAGAGAAAAGCGGACAAGTACACCTTTGTACATACATTCCTAAAGCAAGAGTTCACACATTCTTGTACCATCCTCTCAACTGGCATTTCTTCTTAGTCCCAAGAAAAACCACTTAGAGGCTACTACTCAGGGTTCAACATTGGGCTTCTATAAAAGCAGAAGTCAGGCTTAACATCCCAATAACTAGAGAAGTAATTCTGTTCATTAAGGGAAATTCTAGGGGTGTAGTGTTATAATTAGTATAATAATTATTATTATGGTAGAGGAAATAGCATGAGCTGAATGTTGAAAGTTGAGCAGGTTTTCATCAGTTGAATGTGAAGCCCTAAGGAGGTGAGAATTATTGGAGGGGTGTTTAGGGAGACAGAGCTGTGTGAACAACAGCAGAGAGGCATGAAAGGGCATTAGGCTTTAAAAAGCATTAAGTCACTTTTTGGTGCTTAAACATAGGGTTTGAAGAAGGGTGACAGAGAGAAAAAGTCCAGAAAGACTAGGAAGAGTCACATCTCACAAGGTCTTCCAGACTCAAGGAAAGTTGGATTTTGCTTTCATAGCTAATGGGAAATTATGGCAGAATACTCAAGAGAGGAAGACTTGAACAGTATGGCAAGAAGCCAAGTGAGTAATAATCAGAGCTGAAACTAAGTAGTATCAGTAGAGATAAAATGGAGGATACAAATACAAGTGAAGGTAAGAATATATACTTAGAAGTAGTTTAAAAAATTTTTAAAAAGCACGGATTTCTTCCAATTAAAAATTTTATTTATATGAGATGTTTTACAAAATTATTTAAAACATGACATCATAGTTGGTTATACATTTAGTTATTTGTTTTTACTGAAAATAAAAGGATTACATGAAATTAGGACTTTTTCAGAAAGTGGTATGACAGGATTCTTCTGTCTATAATCCTGGAACCTGGCAGAGATGCTGAGCCCCCAAAACATCAGTTCCAACTCAGAGATCAGTATTTAGACCTACCTCAGAGGAAGGCCCTAGATAACCTGTTATTATACAGGGCTGGTACAGAATGAAGTCTCAAATTTCTAAAATTAATATTCATACTTTAATGTAAGTAAACTTTAGGTAACTCAATTTTAGGCACTCCTCTAACTTAGGAGCTTTAATAGTGTTGAGAAGGAGATATCTAGACCTGCAATTGGTTTAAAACAACTCTACACAATCATACAGATTCTGAAACAAATAGTGTTTACAGATATAGGGTAAAATTACCCCCATGGTGTATATTTTCAAAGTCACATTGCACTGCCCTGACAGGTTCCTTTCTTGGTACCAAACATGTAATTGACTGGGTCTCTTCACCCCACACCCAGACCCCATGTAGCAAAATTCCGTTCTGGATACCATTTCCTATGCCAGTTAAGGGTTTGTTACAAGTTAAAGAGTTTTTTTTTTAAAGCCACCCAGATATTTTAGGAAACAACCCAGAACGAAAGCATTAATAATAAAAATCAAATCAGTGTCCTGTATATCAAAGCACCACATCTAAGAAGTCAAGGATGTAAAAAGTGACCTTTACATTTTATAACAATACACAGTGTTTATTGATTTCAAAAAAGTATCAGAGAAAATAGCAACCTTTAAACATTCATTAAAATGAATAGAAAGATTTTTTTTTAGAAAAAGTGCTTATTCAGAGTTTAGTGAACACACAAATATCATTGATTACAATTCTATGTTACAGTACATTTTACTTTCTATAACTGTAAAAATAAGCTAAAACATAGGAGTATGATTTAATCTATATTTCTAGCCCTACTCAATATGTAATTATAGATTAGCTATAAATTTCCACTCAAGTGAAATGCAAGAGGAATATAATTTATAGCCTTTTTAAAGAAGTATATGCCTAAAGCCTGAATAATCCAGTATTAATCTATTATAATATACTCAACTTAGAAGTACTCATCTCTCTTACAATGTTGTCTTGTAAATGATGCAATGAGTTGAAAGACTGGTCCTGGTTCAAGAGGAAATCCTGATAAAAATGGATATAAAACCCCACTAAGAAACACAAGCATGTTTCAAAGAGAAATCTGAAACCCCAAATCATTATTCACAATCTATTATTAATTACAATTTGAGATATATCACCAGTTACTTCTAGGTTGTAAATATGTCTCACCAATGACAATCTTGTACAAACATATCAGAAAAACAATGGGCAACTCCTGAAAGTCACTGGACGATAAAACATAGTTACATTTGGTTTCAGAAGATTCAGAAAAGATTAGATTAGGGGAAAATGTATTATTTAATTAAAACCACTTAAAATAATTCTGGTGGGCCTCAAAGCAAGTAGCCATGTTGGTTACATGCATTTTGCTCTCAGGTTTAAGACACAAAGGTCTCCATTTCTCTAAGAGAACTGCTTTTCCGGCAAGACATACTCTCTCTTTTCCCTTGGAGCCAAGTAATTGGAGCCCTAAACACACTGCGGAGCTTCTGTTGGAACCGGTTTCCAACAAAACAATAGAGAAATGGATTAACGCAGCTGTTGGTGAATCCCAGGAGGATGGCAAAAGGAAGTGCCAGGTCAATGACTGCTATAACTTCACAGCTATTAATGACACCCATCCAGGCCAGAGCATCCAGGAAGGTCAGAACATGGAAGGGAAGCCAGCAAATGATGAAGGCCAGAACAACAGCAGCTGCCATCTTCAGGACTTGGTCTCGGGTTATCCTGTTCTTCCCATAGCTATTCGTCTTCAGTAAGTGTTTTCTAATTCCAAAATAGCATGTTGCTATGAATATTAAAGGGATAATAAAACCAAGGATATTTTTCATTAAGGCAATCCCAGCTGACCATTGGGCATATTTCTCAGGTGGGAAAGCCATAATGCAAGCATTCACTCCTAAGTATTCAATGGTTCTGACATCTCGAAAATAAAATGTTGGCAATGAGGACAAACAGGCCATACACCAAACAAGGGGAACTATATAAGATGCTTGCCAGGGATTTCTTCTTTGAGACAGAAAGGGGTAGATAACGGATTGGTACCTATCAACACTCATACAGGTGATAAAAAAAATGCTTGCAAACATGTTCAGAGTAAGAAAAGAACCAAAAACTTTGCACATCACAGGTCCGAAGAGCCAGTCATATCTATAAGAATAATAGGTTGCCCAGAGAGGAAGAGTAGCCAAAAGGAGTAAGTCAGCCACAGCAAGGTTGAAGATGTAAATGCTAGAAACCTTTTTAGGACCCTTTTGACAACAAAACAGTGTAACCACAACAATATTGACCAGAAATCCAATTACAAATATAATGTAGTAGAGAATAGGAATTGCATCTAAATGCTTATCTGATGGTTTCTGTGAACAGTTCAAGGTAGACTCATTGTTGCCAGAGATGGTCACAAGCCCGAAGTGAAGACTGCTAGTAATGCTTTTGCTAGTAGTGGCAAGGGTGGAGTTGCCCTTCATATTGAAATGTCAGCAGCTCCTAGTTCTTATGCCTTCTGTGGAGGAAAAAAAATAGAACTCTTAGAACACATACAGAGCTGAGGACATCCTTGAATCCTTAGCATTTTGAAAGTTTGTCAAAAGCAGAAAGAAGTGAGTGATTATAGAAAACATTATGAAACAGAGCCATGCCTTGTAAAATAAGAATGGATTTTACCGCTTGAAAAAGGAGAAATACTTTTCTTAAGAGTAGAAAAAAGTAAATCATTTCAGAGATTGAAAGTTCTGAACAAAACTACCTTTTGCCCATCTTTTCTATGATGTTTTTGAAAGGTTTAAAGAAAATTAATATTTCAAAAGATTAGTCAGGGCAGGAAATATGTGAAACAAATAAGAAACCTAGAGGTAAGAAAAGTTAATCTTTCAAAAAACACTTGGGCATATATCTCTGTTTGTATACTTTCTAGAAACTACACTGCTGCCTGCTATTGCATAGAGAAATGCTCTATTTAAGTAACTAATTACATACAAATCACTACAACTATGGAAAACATAAGTAACGTAAGCAGAGGAAAACATAAGTATATAAAAAACTAAAAGAGAATATGCCAAAGGAACATATTGTGATGAGGAATCATGGTTTTTCTTTAATAATTAAAAATAATTCCTTTAGTTTTACTTTTCTATTGTTTTCACAATAATAAAATAGTTAAGAAGTTATGAAATATATTTCTATTTCTAAGTCTTCTCCTTTTAATAGAGAATATTAGTTTTAGACATAGATATCTAATTTTGGTCTATTTCATATATAAACAATCCATTTTCAATTAAAGCAGATAAAGAAAAAAACAGTCAAACTTATTTTAGGTTCAAGTAGAAGTAATTTATATTGCTCAATGAAATGAGAATTGAACATCAATGATTAATCATGATATAGTCTTATCATTTTTCTTTTGCTCTCTTCTCAGTTTAACAAAACTGAATAGCCGTGGCTCTCAAATGTTGCAGTGTTCAGGTTCTTGTGATTTTTTTCACTAGAAACATTATTTTAAAAGCAAAAAAACACACATTAGCTAAAGGTAAGCATACTAAGGAAACACTATTTACTTTAGATAGTTTCAAAATACATGCAAATAAACTACCCAATTAGAAGTATAATCTCCAAAGAACCTCCTAATAAAGAGCAAAACTTTTATTTTGAACTAAAGCTTTTTCTTTTGACCTAACAAATTAACATAAAAGAATCAATAATAAATTCCACTTGAAGACTTACTGGTTGTTGAAGTTTAAAGCAGTAATCATAAATCAGCTTGCTTAGTGCCTAAACACACTCCTGTAAGAGAAACAGCAGCTAAATAATTCAGGAGTTTTACAAAATACAGTGTTAAAACACAGGAAAAACAGAAGTTCATCCATAAAAAATACTTTCATTTAATGTATGTTCTACTTTCCAAGTAAATTATATACAAATTGTTCATACTTACCTTAAAAATTAAGGCTGCAGAATGCTTTGAATTCTGTGCTTACTCGTTCTCTCAGACGCTGGGACGTAATAGCACCAGATCTCTGGTTTCCTTCTTATATGTTTGGTCTGTCCACTGGGAGCCTTCAACCTACATAATTCTAGGGCTGACTTATGAACACTTGCCAGCTTTCCAGAGAGGTTTTTTTTTTGTCTGCAAAACATTAATCTGAAATTCTCACTGTCTCCAATCATAACAGCTCATTGAAATAAATCTCAAACAAAAAAATGAAGTTTCCACAAATGTGTTAGATAATTTTGAAGTCAGTGGCTTACTTTAAGAGAAGAACATAATAATTATTTATAGAATTTTCTCTTTCTTTTTTCCTAATATTGGCATTCTAATAGAAATTAATGAGTAGAGACTAGGAAATTTATTATAGTAGCAAAGTCTTTGTTCATCATCTTTTACAACCTTCATTACTTTCTGAAAATTTTATCCATGTTTATTAAAGAATGGTAGCAATTTTACTTGAAGTCTACAACTTCTAAAATTTCTCCTTTGCTTTATGCGGTTTTTGTTGGCTTCTTGCTGGAGGATTGGAGATTGCAGGAATATAATTTTTACGTGATGGAGAAGAGGTTCGGTCCTCCTTGCATAGGTCTCTGTCATATTTGTAGTTTAAATACAAAGCACAAAAAGTGAAGAAGGATTAGGTGACTATTTCAACATAGATCACTGTTGCTGCTGTTTCTTGTGGCAGTGGGGGCAATAAACTACACAACCAATCCAACAGAAGCAAGAGTGACAAAATGAAGAAAGATAAGAACAGGTGATGGTAGTGATAATACTAGCTGACAATACATGTTATGTGCCAAACACTGTGATGAGTTATTCATCATCAATAATTTAATAGAGAGGCAGTATAACACACTGGTTAGTAAATAGCCTCTGGGATCCAACTACCTGGCTTTACAAACCCAGCTCTACCACTTACTAATTCTGACCTTGGCCAAGTTACTTTATTTCTCCATGTCTCAGTTTCTCATCTGAGAAATGAGAATGATATAAATTACCTACATCATAGAGTGGGAATTTTAAATAAGCTAATGGAAAATTAAATGAGCTAATATGTTTAAAGTGCCTAAAATCATGCCTAGCATATGGTAGGTGCTATTACAAGCTATTCATTTTAGCCCCCACTTTACAAATCAGGAAACTAGGACTCATAGAGTTTAATAACTTTTCTGAGATCATACAGCTATTAAATGAAGACACTTGCATTTAAATCAAAAGAAACTAATATCAGAACTCATTCTGTTTAGCCTCTATACCACAAGAGGAAGCACTAGATGGTCCCTTAATCTCACTCTTTGTCTTGGCAAAAAGGAAACGTAGCATTTACAGAAAATCACTGATGACCATTCATAATCTATCACAAAATCATCAAAGAAGGGGAAAAGAATTGGAAGAACTGTTATGTGGGGAAAAGTATTTTTCTTAATTGTATTACCCAATTGGAGACCATAGGAAGGAGAAACTTGTGACTAGATAGCTTTCTGTAGTTAGTACAGAAAACCAGAGAACCTAGAACACATTTTAAATGGGCAAAAAGATTCAAGTTATTCCTGTGGATCGTATTTTTCAGATAAGCAGTAAGGGCACGCCTGTCCATGCTGCAGGCCACAGGTAAAGGATGAGGGCAGGCTCTGAGGAAGTAGCTGGGCACCTAAGTATGGAGTTCAGCAGAACAAGGAAGGAGAAGTCAGTGTTGATGACAGAAAACAAAATTGCAAATGGCATGAGACAAAGCACAAGACTTTTGATATTTGTCTGTTTCTCCATTAATATTGAAGTCAATACTGTAGCACACAGGCAGATGAGATCAGTGAGAAGTCATCGTTGTGTGAAAAATACAGTAGGATTCAAAGGTTTCATAGACCATCTTAAAGTTTCTTTCGGTGAACAGTTTGAACATAGTCAAAATTCCCCTAATAAATGTATGCACCATTTTACTAAATCTCAAAATATTTGTGTCCTATGCTCTGGACAGATTCAGTTGAGGCTGAGGCTCTGTTAAAATGATAGAAAACTTATGTTTTGGAAACAAATGAGGGGGCACATATGTTTATCAGCAGGAAAGCTGACATGGAAACTGTTTTCTCTCATTGTTTAAACCTGGTTTCTCCCTCCATTTCAAATGTTTGTTTTTGCCACATAAAGGGGAATTTTCCAGGCCAGGGCCTCCCAAGTGGTCATAATGGGTCAGATTCTCACCCTGCTCCTTTTCTTGTCCCCTCTTATGCCCTTTGCAAAGAAACAGCCAGGAGGTGAGCTATAAAATTATGAGAACAAACTACAGGCTTGTCTCCAGAAGACCTAGCCTTGAACACCCACAAGGAACAGGGGATCTTGTCTAGAGCTTTTGTCCTTCATTAGAGTAAGTTCTGACGTAAATAAAGTTTAAAGAGGTACATATTTCCCAGAAGATTAAAGGGCCATTTACTCTGCGTCTTCATACTCTTAGGAGTAAATTTTTTCACAACTCAAAGAAAAATTTTGTAACTGTAGAGAATTAACAAAAAAAGTTCATAAAAGGAATAGCAATAATATTGACACCACTTGAAGAAAGAAATACTGTATATTATTGATTCAGCAAAGAACTCCCAGTTAAACCAACAATGTAAATATGCTTGAGAGTCAAATAAATGTCAGTCCTGGGAAGCAGTACAACACAAAAAGTTCATTCTCCTGGGAGTAGGGAATACTTTTTCTGCTGGTAGACTTCCTTAAAAAAGTTTCAGGTCATTTGAATAAATTATGCAGCTCTGCAGGACAAGGGTAGCTGAGCTAGCAGAATTAAATAGTAAATCACATTAAATTAATTTTTTTCTAATGAATACCTGTTGTTTATTGTGAGATTACTTAACAGTAAACTTGAAAGGACTAAGCTAAAAAAGTAAATGTTCTTGGGAGGAATTCTTCCTCTGCTAGAAGGTTACAGAGTTCAGAACAAATTTTATTTGCCCCCTCACCTCCACCCACACACACAGATGAAACTTCAAAGGAGAAAAGAAATACATAAATGCAAAAATCAGCAAAAATTCTAGACATAGGTGCCCTGGTTATAGAGGTAAAGATTAGAGGTACAGATTATGGAATGATTTTAATACATATGGGTCTTCCTTTTTAATCTAGGTCTTTCAGAGTCAATTTAACTTTCCCCAACCACAGCCACCACACTGAGTGCCAATATCATTACCACTTCTCTCAACTTCAACACACACACGCATCACTCACACCCATAGACCCACACACGTACTTTATACCAACCTTTCTTTAATTCACTTACCCATTGAGTAGCCATGCTTTAATTGTCACTGGACTTTTCCTAACCTGGGGGTCTATAAAAGGAGGGTAGTTAAGAAGATTGCCCATTATTGATGAATCTTTGCATATTCTTTTTGTGCCTCTCGGTGAAATGTCACAATGAAAGCAAATGGAAAAAAATAAGGCCTTGTATTCAGAAATAACGATCAGATTGGCCATTTTTAGAAACCAGCTTAAAATTCAGTGAAATGCCCAACATGAGTGATTATTTGCATTCCACTACCTCTTTGTCTACGTATCACATGAAAAGTGACAGAGAGGAATGCTAAGTAAGTTAAGGTGGAACCGATGTAGTGAGATGAATGGATGTCAGACTCAGTACATTTTTTTTTAAATTTTTTATTAATATTTATTTTTTATTATACTTTAAGTTCTAGGGTACATGTGCACAACGTGCGGATTTGTTACATATGTATACATGTGCCATGTTGGTGTGCCTAATGTAACTCGTCATTTACATTAGGTATATCTCCTAATGCTATATCTCCCCCTATCCCCTTCCCCCAATAGGCCCTGGTGTGTGATGTTCCTTTTCCTGTGTCCAAGTGACCTCATTGTTCATTTCCCACCTATGAGTGAGAACATGTGGTGTTTGGTTTTCTGTTCTTGTGATAGTTTGCTGAGAATGATGGTTTCCAGCTGCAT